ACTGTATACACAGGATGTTAAAAAAAAGTACCTGAGCCTTTAAGGACTTATTCACCGAGAGGAATAAAATATGCTTAATCAACATAGGTCCTGAAATCAATCCTTTTGACGTACAATCTACTTTTAGATCTACGAGCGTTCGGTATTGTTTACTCCTCTCACTGAAAACTATAAGCCTCTAAAATCTCAAACACTTTTTTTAACACCCTCTATGTAAAGCAAAAATAGAGTGATTAGAGTATTAAATAATTCACTATTTGAAAAGACATCATTCTTCAAGTAATAAACTTCAAAAGTTTCATTTTACATTTTCAATTTAATCTTGCATGTAAAATCACTTGTCACATACTTTGTACAACTTTACTTTACTATACTCACATTTTATAACATTCCTGTAAAGTATCCAATGCATGCTTTATATATGCTTGATTTTCAGCATCTTTGAAAACAGTTCTTGCATGATAGTCACTAAATCCATTCTCTAAATTTTGAATCTTTTGAATTGGTAAAGTGTATAAAAGTTCTGCTTTTGCTTTTAAAACATTGTCCTTCTCTCCTTCTAATGTAATTCTTGTAAAACATTCAGGTGTTATTTGTGGATAACTACCAATACTGACTTTATCTTTCCAACGCACTGCATGTTTGTCCAAAATTTTTACTATTGATAGCTCATTTAAATTAATATTTATCTGTTCAATGTGTAAAGGAATAGAACCTTTTAATTGCGATACAATTACATCAACAGCAAGCTCAAAATATTTTGGAGAGCCTGGTAACACATACACATTCTTTGCCTTTACAATTGCATATTTTTCTGCAAATTATTTTTAATTTATTTTTCTTAATTAAACATTATTTATTCACAATAAAGTAACATTATTATTAGAATGACTTGTAACATTAGAATGACATAAAAATTCTTTATTTTGTTACAATTAATTCTACTAATAATAATAAAGTTTTCTATATTAAACGAAATTTCCTACTAAATTTATTATTTCTTAATGTACTTACTTGGTGAATAGACATACACAAGTTCACAAGGTCTTGGTACAATAGCAAGGCGTTGAGCTTCTTCCTCCATAGGAAAAAGATTTGTACAAATATCAACTAATTCTTCATGGAGTTCAAGTTTTAATTCTAAACCCTTAGCTACAGCTTCATATGTTACATCATCATGTGTAGGTCCAACACCACCAGATGTAAATACAATAGAATATTCCTTGGAAACATCATGTACAGTCTTTGCAATTTCATCTACCTAACACAAAAGGCTACATTACACATATTAAGAATTTAAATTTCAATAAAAACACAGAAATATTTATATTACAAAAATTTAATATCTTTTCCAACTAATCCATTTTTAATATTTTAATATAATAAATGTAAAACAAAAATAATAATATACATATAAT